AATATTTTCAAATATTCCATCAGGATTTCACCCTACTACAATTGTAGACTACGATGCTTTGTCTAGCATAGCATGATGGAAGTCTTTCTTAAACATCTTACATTCTCTTTAAAGAGTTGCTTTCATCCATGGTAATTGTTTCATTCAAATTACTCATAATAAATGTTAATATCTATTTTACCCCTATATTTGAATCACTTACATATGTTCTTTTATTCATTGTATCAGCAGAATCCTTTGATTCTATTACGTATTAGCACTTAATTTTCAAATGAGTGTTATGCTATAACTAAATTATAGCCACAGGTTTTCACCTGTGGTTTATTTATATAGTAACAAACTGAAAGTACAGAAAGGCACAGCCTTAATATTAAAATAACCTTTTTCCCATGAAGAAACATAAAATATGTATTTTTTGCTACATTGACTATCACAGAAAGGCAGATTGATCATTTACTAAACAGTATAGAAGGATATAAAGTTATTTTCCTTAGTTTTTAATATCAGATCAGTCATGGTACTGAGGTCTCTAAAATGATGGATGAAATGTAGAATGAAATTGTATGTAAATTCTGCACTGTTGAAGATTCAAAGTCATTTCAGACATAGTATTGCAAAGAATTTCAAACTCAGTCTGGAAGCCAACATGAATTGTAATTCTATGTAGAATACTGTAGGTGGTATAATAGTATTTGCAATACAGTAACAACATATATACCACAAGATCACAGAAAAAAAAAAAGAAAACTTTGTTTTTTTGAGATGAAGGCTCATGCTTTTCACCCAGGGTGGAGTGCAGTGGCAGGATCTTGGCTAACTGCAACCTCTGCCTCCTGGGTTCAAGCTATTCTCTTGCCTCAGCCTCCCAAGTAGCTGAGATTACAGGCATGCACCACCACACCCAACTAATTTTGGTACTTTCAGTAGAGACAGAGTTTCGCCATGTTGGCAGGCTCATCTCAAACTCCTGACCTCAGATGACCCACCAGTCTTGCCCTCTCAAAGTGCTGGGATTACAGGCATAAGCCACCACACCTAGCCAAAAACAATTTTTCTTTTGAAACTCAATTAAGATTTTTCGTGAGAGTCATGGGCCAGATTTCAACAGGTGACAATAGGATAAATGAATGAATTCTTGGTAGAGAGAAGACAGTGGACTGTGAATTAAGAGCTCAGGGATGTGATTCTGAGATCAGGGAAGTGTCTAGGAACCAATGGATTATATGGTTTATAAGATGATATTGAAGAGCCATATCAATTTTAGAATTTGGACAGTGAACAGCATCACTGCCTTGGCAGAAAAGAAAGATATGATCAAGTTCATTCATGCAGCGCAAACCTAGGTAGGTACAGAAATTTTATGTTGGAAAGAATCAGTATACAACAGCCCCTTTAATCTCACCACTTATACTTCCATCTCAAGCCAAGAACATAGTATTTTCTCTAAGGACTCCATATCAATGAATTTATCTATTAATAAAAATGACTTTTTTATATGATTGGAGCTACAGTTTGGATCTCTTAGGCATTGCCATATAACCAAATACAATATAAAGCAGCCCCTAAATGGATGGGAGAGCCAAAGAACACCATTATGGCTATGCTGAAGCAAGCTACTCATCAGAAACCCCGAGTACCTCAAAGTTTACTCCAGCTATGAGCCCTCCATACCTCATGCTTGAATTCTAAGGCTGTCACCTGCAAGCTTACCTGTATTAAATGGCTACTCACTGCATTTATTCCCTCAAAGCGACATCAATTGAAAGACAACCAATTCCCTTGTTTATATACCATGAATATATATGTTTTAGATTCATCTAGATGTGACCCAGCTTGTAATACAGTGTGTGTGCAATAGAATTCTGTATTCAATTGCAAAAGCCAGACGTATGGCATGGTTTAAGTAGGATCCTGCCAACCACCAGTGCTAAACAGAAGTACTTACTTTCTGTGCTTAACAATGAATTCACCGTTCACAAAATGGTACAGTTATCTGATCAATCCCATGTGAGCCCTCTTCTCCACATGTCTGTTAGATTTTCATTATCTCCCTCATTAATTATGTATGTCTTAAGGTTTCTTAGCCAAAACACCAGCTCCTAATATTTCTTCAAGGTGAACTCAACTCCAAATCCACAGACTTAAACCCCACGGTCTCAGAGGTTGCCCCTCTGTTACTTTTGGCACTTTCAAAGCTTGAGGATGCCATTCATCTATAAGCATGCTAGCTCTTGAAAAGTTGTAAGGAAAAGGCACTGAACTACACAACTCCCCTCCTCTCCCCCCAGTCGATATAAGGAATCATCTCTCATCCCCAGAGGAGACGTAAGAGAGCCCCAAGTCTGTAACACAAAACAAGAAGAAATGAGACCCAACATCCGTACCCCAAAATGTATTTCCATGGGTTTTGTTGTGTTGTTTGCTTAGTTTTGTGCACTTGTTGCTTTCACATCAGAAAAATCTTAAAAAATAGATTCACTTCTTTCTCTTTGCTTTCCTGCTACTTAACACAGAAGTAACTATAGGGTAATATATTTCAACATTTGACATCAATAAATGCAAGCTGTAATCATGTTTTTTAACTTTGAATGCTGCTGATAAATGCAGCCATTCATTTGTTTTATAATGTATTCATTTATTGAGTAATTGTATTATATAGAAGGTGTAGGTGCAGGGTTAAACATGGTCAGAATTACTAACAATTTAAAATAATTCTATCTTTGAGGATATAGTTTAGCAGCAAAAGTAAGCTATGAACATGGCTATAAGATACCATATTACGTGATCAGCAGAATACGATATTTAAAATAAATTGCTATGGGAGAGTCAAGTAAGAATACTTTTTCTATCTTGGAGCACCAGAGAAAGGTCTGTGGAGGAGAAAACAGATGAACTGGACCCTGATGGAGGGTATGTTTGTAACCTAGACGGGAGAAATGTGTCCAAGGTGAAGAAAGAGCACCATGTAATTTATGCACTTTACAGTTCTATGCCTTATTCCATCGGGATGAACTAGAGACAGGCCCTATCTTCATAGATCTTATTTTAAGTAGAAGAAAGAAACAATGAATGACTACAAATATAACATAACATTACAAAGGAATTTTTACTATAGAGAAAAGTATGCCTGTTAAAGAGAAGAAAGATTAGTATTATTTTAATAGAGTGTTTAGAAAAGTTATTTCCCAGACAGTGATCTTTGAGAGAACTGGAGCAAGTTTTTGGCATCCCAATTAACCTAAAATATATCCTTTTGGTATATGAATTCCTTTTCTGGCTTAATTGTAATATGAAATAGAATCTTATAGTTCAGAGATTTAAATAGCATCAAAAAGGTGGAAACTCCCCTCCCATTCATATTTTACAGCCACCCAGTTAATATCTCATCCCACTCATTACATCTCTGAAGAAATGTATTTCAGTTTGAGGAAACAGTAAAAATGCTGTGAGGCTATAGTACTTTTGCTGTATTTGAGAAAATACAGCAAGAACTGGAACAAGAGGAAGAATTGCTGGAAATTATGTTAGAGAGACAGGCCAGATCATATAGGTAGGGACTTTGTGCCACTGAAAGACATCAGAATCCAGTTGACTTGTGGGGGATAACATCAGAGAATTGTGAGCACTGTAGCAATATGATTTGCATTTCCTAAAATTTCACTCTAGGAATATGTAAAACCAATGATAGGAGGACGAGAATGGGCAGCTAGGAGGCCAGGTAAGGGACTATTACAGGAGTCCTAGCACAAAACAAATAGAACTTAGATGACAGAGGGCAAAGATGGAGAAAAGGGAATATTCTGTTACTCCTGTCAATTTAGGATGCCCTTTAGGCCATCATTAGCTATATAACAACAGAAACAAGAAGCAGCTAGAGAGAGCTGTTTCTTTGATCATCGAAATTCAAAATCCATTATTTCTTTTATTTCTGAAACATTCCCCATGCATGTCAGAACCATGTGATGACTGTCCCTCAAAGTGCTAAGTCCATGATTTAGAATAAAGCAGTTTCCAAGTTAAAAGATTTAGCAAAGTAGGTATTGAACACAGGCAATATGTTTCATGGAGACTTCAAATCTAATTATAGGCAATGATTGTTTATTGTTCAGTGCTGATTGGCTACTATATTAGTTTGTTTTTATACTGCTGATAAAGACATACTCGAGATTGGGTAATTAATAAAGAAAAAGATGTTTAATAGACTCACAGTTCCGCATAGCTGGGGAGGCCTCACAATCACAGCAGAAGGCAAAAGGTACATCTTACGTGGTAGCTAGCAAGAGAATGAGAGAACCAACTGAAAGGCCTTTCTCCTTATAAAATCATCAGATCTTGTGAGACTCTTTCACTACCAGAAGAACAGTATGGGGCAAACTGCCCCAATACTTTAATTATCTCCCACTGGGTCCCTCCCACAGCATATAGGAATTATGGAACCTCAATTCAAGATGAGGTTTAGAGGAGGACACAGCCACACCATATAAGCTACTTAGTATATACTTTAGATTAAGAGTCCACACACTTTTATGAGTATTAAAAAATAGACCAAGAGTTTTTTTTTTTTTTTTTTTTTTTTTTTTTTAATTAATTGGCTCCTGTCAGCTGTCAGTATTATCATCTCCATGGACAACCTTATTTCTTTGCATATTTTTTACACCAGGCATGGTTAAGAAGTTGAGAGACTGTCAAAATCATTAATTTTCTGTCATGTTTAAATAACTGGTTGGCCCCTTAAGCAGATTGTATGTTATTGCTTTTCAGATTGAGGCTTTCTGTCAGAATGTACCATCTCCCAAAGGAAAAGATAGCTGCAAAGCTTTGGGGCTATACTGTAGGAATGTAATTTGTTTGTTCAACAAAGCATGGCAGCTAAACCCTAGAATTATTTGTTGTGTGACTTCCTTAATAGACCATGTTGAAGAGGGATGTAGATTACTGGATGCTCTGAGGAATGCAGATTACTAAAATGAATTAAAATGCCATTTGTTTTTTTCCCATAGATATTTTTAAATGCAAAGACAATCCGGCTGGGAAATCTACCAACCGGCTCCTTCCCATCTTCTTCACCTAGCTCCTCAAGTTCTCGACAGACAGTGTATGAACTCTGCGTCTGTCCCAATGGCAAACTTTACCTTTCTCCAGCAGGAGTAGGTTCCACTTGTCAGTCCAGTAGCAACATCTGCTTATGGAGCTGAAGTGACTGATTTCTCCTCACACCAGAATAGCCTTTTGTTCCTGTCCGTCTGCTTCACAGTTCTGCTCGGTTTCCCTTGTGATCAGTCCAGAGCTTCTTTGAATGGTCCACAGAGCAATTTCCAATGTGAGCAGGGATTCTCCACCACTTTCTCTTGTGATTTACTATACTGCTCAACACAGAGAGTGTGAGTGACACAGCAGTGGAAAAAGCGTCATCAGCAGGAAAACTGGATCATGACTTTTGCTCAAAAGGGAGAATAACATAGGTGCCTTTGCTACATGAAGTGAAGCACACAGTTTTAGATTTTTGCAGGACTTGGATATGAACTGCACATATATACATTACATAAATGAAATTCCCAGTATCCAATGGCAAGATGAAATGGTTAACCCTGTAAGAAAACTTATTCTACAGTCTGAAAGCACAATTTTCCATTCATCTTTTTGGATGTAAACTTTTATCCCCAACTTTTAGAATTTTGAAGCATTCTGTAATGCTTGCTTTACTAAAAATTAAATTCAATACACGGTTTTTAACAAAACAAAACAAAACAATACAGAATCTCTCCCTGAGTTTTCATTTTGTTTCTTTAATTTCAGTGTGTTGTTACTCTTTGTCTACTAAGTCTAGAATTTTGTACATTAGGTGATTTTGAAAGCACTCAGCAATATAATCTTTCTCAGAATTAACAAAATTCCATTTTAATATCATTTGTCAAATCTGGATGGCCTTATGTAGTATTTACATGGCTACTGCATGTGATGTATTTGTTTTTAACAAAACATCTAGTTGATTGCAATATAAGGTAGGATTAAGAAGGACATGCTGACGGTATTAAATGCATAGATCATTTTTTAAAAATTCACATGCTATCCTTTACACCTAGGTTTTAATAGTATAATTTGTCTTTGCTCTATTCACTTTACATTAATTCTGACTGCTAAAATTCAAACATCCTCCAAATAAATAATACTAATTTGATGTATAATGCTGAGAATAAATTCACTTCCATTGGGAGATCATCTTCAAAATTATTATCTATTTATTTTTTATTGTAGGCTAAGATTTAAAGAAGTTAGAACTTAAAAATTCTTGACTAAACAGTAAAAATGGCAAATGCTAATAAACATATTGAAAAGTTTACTACATTAGATTCATACTTTCAGGAACTGAGTCACATTTCTATTCATCTCTTAACATATATTTACTTTTATTCGATTGTTAAGCTACTGTGACATCAAAAATTGTAGTTCTTTTCATTCTCCACTGCTTACTTTTACATATGACCTCTTAATAACTTTAGAATATTACAGATTCATTTATCACAATACCCCTTAATTCAGATTCTTGAAACTTACAGAATCAAAGAATGTAAAACTGTATTAAGTATTCCTATTATGGGAAGATGACTTAATTACTGTTACTGTAAGGTAAGTCCTCAATTTTCACGTCAGTCAACGTTTTGCTCCCCCATGCATACCACCAACCAGCATGTAGAAACTACATTTTGGAAATTAATGGCTGTAGAGTCTTGGACTTCAGGTCTCTACAGCTCAGAGTGAATTGGGAAATTAGAACTTGTTGAAAAACATGTGGTTAATGAAAGTAGAAGTATTGGCAACACAAGAAGAAACGCGATTAACATTTTACCAGAATGATCTTGTTTGTATGACCTAGCATATCAAATAACTGAAAAATCCCATTTCCAGTGTACTCAGCAGAAGGGTTCAAAGGCTAATTTGTTATTTTAAAATAAAATTTGACTTGTGTTTGGATGTTATATCTCTTTAAATCAGTATTGAAATAAGAATTATACAGTTGCTTACAAAGTTATCTCATAACACAGAGTTTAATTTATATTAAAATTAAGAGAATTTAATACAAGAAATCTCACATTGGTCTTTGCAAAATAAAGTATAACAAGAAATGTTGAGAAATTATGTGTGCTAATCACTGTATTATGGAATTTTAAGGAAACATTATGTAGTAATTTGAGACATATTCAAGTTCTAATCATCCTTCTATTGAAACAATTAGAAACTTTCTGATTCAAATGGGAATAATTCTTTTGATTAGGAACTGGCCCTGTTTCTAATTTCAGCTGTCTTCTACATCAACTGAGCTGTTTTAGGCACTTTGGAAATCTCTCCAGACTTCAGTTTACCCAACTTTACAGCAAAAGTATTGAATAGTGTCTTGAGGTTCCTTACTATTCCAACATGTTCTAATTTCAAGTACATATATTACAGAAAGCAAAAGAGAAAACTGAAAATTTAACTTATATGTCATAAGAGGAGAAAAGATGGAAAATTGGGAAAACAAGATGTAAAAACCAATTCCATTGAGGGGGCTGTCAAATTTTTAATTCAAATATATTCTGAAAAGTGTAGACACAATTCAAAAGCAACTTAGAAGCTTGAGAGATTTAGACTGTATCCAGATGATATAAAAATATGTTTAATTTAGTAGAAAAAACAGTGATAGAGATGGCTTTCCCATTCAACATCAAATAATTGCTTTATTTGACTAGCTGTTTCAGATTTCTGAGTCTAAAAGAATACCCCTGCCTCCGAGATCAAGCCTATAGTGAAGGCTTAGAAGAATGTCCCCAGAAGTCCTCAATTTTCACATTCAAAAAAAATAAAGGCTTAAAAAAAATACAGTGATCCCATAATGGCAGACTACCCAAACAGATTCATTGTCTGTTTTCCCAGTACCATCTTATTGTTACAACATGTATAAGTATAATGCAGTTTACTTATGATATAAACATTGTCTTCCCCAAATGACACTGAGAAAAATGAGTCCTTTAATGTGTACTACATTGACATGACTCAGTTATCCTATTACCCATATATTAATAACTTCATACTCAGTTTAGCACAGGAAGGAAGAAAGGAAAGAAGAAAAAGAGGTTGGTAGTATTGCTAGCATTTAAGATTTTGCCAGGAATGCATAACTGAGATGTATTTGAGTTTAGGTTTGGGGGTCAGAATGAAAGATGCAAAGAGGACACATTATTCTTTTCTTTTACAGAATATTTCAATTAAAAACTTCAAAAAAGAAACAGCAAGAACAACAAAAACTTCCAAATTTCCAACTTCCTTTGTTCAACATTTCCAAAATTTCTATCTAGTACTTACTAGTCCTATATAATTGTTTAAATTGTAAATGATATTCTTTATAATTTGGCACATAATTATTTATCTAAGGGTTTAAGACACTTATGCACTTCAAATTTTACTGTAACTTGGGAATACCTAGATCACAGTACTTCAAATCTCAGAAAGTGCAGCCACCAATTCCAGTTTTAGTTCTGCCCCTACCTAGTCATGTGAACTTACTTAAGACATATATTTAATTATGTTGGTCACAGTTCACTTATCTGTGAGGGCGTATATCAAACTAGACATTTTCTTTGTTCACTTTGATTTTTAAATTTTTCTGATTTAAGGCAGTACTCGTAAATCTTAGGTTAAGTAGCCAGCTGAACTAGCATTTGTAATTCCTTCTGCACCTTAAAAAGCTGCTTATAAGTGTTGAAATACAAATCCTTTTGGCAACCTACTTCCTATGCTCATTTTTATATTCCCTTTTTTGCTCTTAACCATCTGAACATTAAAGTTCCTTTGGAAAAATCATGCTTGGTTCAAAGGATTTAACAATATGGTTGATGATAAAAAGGAAAATAATGCATTTGAGTTTGATTCAAAATGACTGTTTAGGCAATTAATAGAAATATTAAACAAATATAAGCATACTGTTGATCTTTCTATTATCTCCTTAAAGCTAAAAAGCATTAATCTTTTGAAGAAATGATAGTATAATCACAGAGATTAATTGTTGAATTGCTTATGTTATTCCATTCAAAATTCCTACACATTCTATCTGAATGACAACTGAAGAATGCATTTTTACAAAAAATGGCATTTGATACAATAAAACTCCTAATATATCATTTCACTGCAAATGGTATCTATGTATGAGGCCCCAATAGCCTAGAGACTGTCTAATGAATTTGAGTGTTATATTTCACAGCAAATAATGTCAATATAATATTAAATTATGAAAATCATTGCAAGTATTTAGTGGCCAAATTTTCTATAAAACCATCAAAGCCAAATTCATATTTGAGTTTTACATGAATGAGATCTTGTCACCAAATTCTTCCAGTAGCTGTGGTCTAATAACAATTGTTCATGTGATCATATTTAATGACATGGAGAAATTATTTTTTCTATATACTGGTACATATTACGGTAATGAACACTGTAAAATATTATCACAAAGTAAAGGAAAATTACATTTGTACTCATTTTCAACAATCATAATCAATAACTTAATTGAACACTGTTATTCATGTTGTTTTATACTGCAATGCATTAGTTATTTAAATGTCAAAGACCAAAGACTAGGAGTTCTATTGTATTTAACTCTAAAACTCTGCTGCTCCTACTAATTTATTCAAATGAATGGGGGGTCTTTTAAGTATAACATGAGTTAGAAAACATTCTTCTTGGAGGATTCTGAGCTGTAGAAATTAATGAATGCTTTTGTTTCAGAAGGAAAACATCACTAGTGTGGTCTACATTTCTTTTACACATGCATAACAAACTCCTTGATATTCATAAACCCAATATATAAAGATCATATTCCAAAATGGGCCCAGTATGGATTTACTTAGCCAAGTTTAAACTTTCACTGCTTGCTGAACATTATTTGAAGAATATAATTAATTTGAAATGCTTGTAGAATCAGAGGGCTATTTTTTAAGTGTTAACTGATATGGGTCTGCTCTTTGAGAAAGCCAATGGAAAACATTAAAGGAAATGAGGTATAATGAACTGTGGTTCTTTTTTTTTTTCTTTTCAGTCTTAATATCTCATTTGTTTGAATATTTATAAATAAAAGCCAAACAGGGTTAAAGATGGGCAAGGACATTCATTAACAATGGAGATATGTAATTTGGAGTTTGAGTGTCTTGTTATTTATACAATTCTTTAAATCAGGTCCACTATTCATTTATTTTGTTTTGTACTTTCATGTAAATGTTTTCTTGTATATATAGAGATATAAAAAATGGAACTATTTTCTTACACATACTATGCAACATGTTTGTAAAATTGCAATATTACCAAAATTACAAAAGCTGTGCTTTTGTACTCTATCTTGCTTTATGTAAAATCACTTTTTCTATTTAAATGGACTGTCTGTCCTATAAACTGTAGATAACATATCTATTCAAAAATCAGTCTATTGTATCTTTTGTTTAGATTGAAGTGAATTGGGGTTTATTTTGGGGGAGAGAAAATGCAGCAAAGTTTTGGCAGTTGGAAACCTTTTTTTTCTCTGAAATGAGACCTATTGAAGCATGCAATGAGCTCATATAATTTACGATCTCTCCTGTGATTCTTGTAATTTGTCCTAATTTTGGTGCTACTATGTAATCATGATTAAATGTGATAGTCAAAACAAAGAGGATCAAATCTTACATGCGATCATTTCATTTATTTTATTGAGTTTTTAAAAACAGTTCAAAGAAGAGTATTAATAGTGAGTAGAGACCTTTTCAGTTCTGTGTTTTAAAAATCAATTCTATTAAGATGTATGTTTTAAAAATATTAAGCTTAATCCATATACTTATACAGGATAAAAATGCTTCTCTTAAGAAAACCTGGTCATATTTTCTCTTGTAAATATATGACCAATAAAACTGAAGAATTCACATCAGTTTAATGATTAAAATCACTACACTTTATTCAATAAGTTAATAGTTTATTCCTTGTAGAGTCCCTCTGATTTAATTTTTGAGACCAAAAAAACTACTATGTGTACAAACTTATATCCCTGCATATACATATATCACATTACACACACAAAAAAATATATGCAATGAAGAATATAAGCAGATGCTAATCAGCATTACTTATTTGATGTATTTCTTCATTTCTTTGTCACATTCACTATATCTTAATCTGGGAGGATTTGAAGTAATTGCATGGACTTTATTAACTTTTAGCATATATCCAGTCCAATGCTGTACATACTTTGAAACAGATGTGCCACGTTCTTTCCAAAACAAAACAGTGTTCACAGGAAGTCTCCCCAGACCGAGCCACTATTACTTTTTTTTTCCCCTTGCTATCCAAGTGTCTCTACACAGTTCCAGATATTATTTAGAAACAAAAACAAAACAGAACTATTTATATTCCTCATGAAGACTTCCAAATGTTAATTCTAAACAGAATACAAATGAGTCCTTTCAGCTCAGGGAAGCATATGCATTCTGAAACTAGAAAGTTTTGGATGGTTTGGATATGTGTGCAAACAAATACTTGAGTACTTATTTCCAGCAGATTCTTAGGACATTTACCAACCATACTAATGCCTGGATTTGCTAACCTCTTTTAATAGTGGAGCAAATAAGGAAACACGTTTTTCTCTATACTCACACTCAACACTGTGATCAGATGTGTAATTTCCCCCCCAATAACCAATACTCCCATGCCAGTTGCATGTCCTAGAATTTAATTACATATCCACACCAACTGAAGTCACAAATGTCATAGCTTAAGGGCTCAATCCCACAAGATTTCCCCCTATTCCAGATCCCAGTCACAAGTAATAGGACCCCAGGTTACTCACAATTTCTGTCTTAATGGACTACTAATCCTATGATCCCTTCTTGGGTTTGAAAATTTGCTAGAGTGGCTCAGAGAACTGAGAAAAACAGTTTATTTACTATTGCTGATTTATTACAGAGAGTATTTTGAAGGATGATGAACAGCAAGATGAAAAGGCATGTAAGCTAAGGTTTAGAAGGGGCCAGAGGGCAGGGAGTTGGGGCTTGTCACTCTCACAGCACATGGATGTGTTAATTGACCCAGAAGCTCTCTGAACTTCATAGCTTTGAAATTTTTGTGGAGGCTTCATCATGTAGAAATGATGAATTATTTACTCCAGCTCCCCAATCCCCGCCTCCTGCCAAAATTTAGAAAGTGAGGCTGTAAATCCCAAGCTTCTAGTCATGGCTTGGTCTTCCTGGTGACCAGCTCCCTTCCAGGATTCCACAGAGTCACCTCATTTGAACAAAAGACATTACTATTCACTCAGAAATTACCAACGTCTTAGTAGTTCTCTCTCAGGAAATGGCTTAAAGACCAAACATGAAAACAAAAAGTTCTCCTAGCATCCCTATTTATAAGGGTTTTAGGTGCTCTGTGTTAAGAACAAGAAACAGGGGCTGATATATACATTCCTTATTATTTTACATGGGACTATGGAGAATTGAGGTTGGGGATGGGTATTAAGCCAGATAATTCAATGCAGTATTATATTAATGTTTTCAGAAGATTAGTATATCACTAAAATAACTGCTCCAGAAAATAGCACCTGTGTGAATTTTAAATGTTCCTATAACTTCTTCTAATTACCTTGCAGAAACTTACCCTCTTTAGGGAGGTCACATGACAAATTTTGAAAGGAAGGTATTTATTTACATTTCACTTTCCCTCTTAGGAAAAATTATTAATGGCCAAGAAAACAGGTTTTATGGTAATGAAGAAATTTTGATTTTATAGTACTCACTAATACTTTAAAAAAATTAACACATTCAGCTAATAAAATTATTATAACTAAAAAAAGGAATCACTTGATTTATTTAAAATATAAATGGGACCCCTAGTATTTTCATCACTCAAAGAAACACCACTGATACAAAAAAGAGAAAGTCTATGTCAGAAAAAAAAAATTTAAGTGCAGCTTATAAATATATACTAAACTTTTTCTCAAAAACACCCCCAAATCACTGTTTTTAAAAAGTGGTACATATAACTAATAAAGATAAAATGAGCAAACTGATGTGGCCTAAAAATAATGCTCAGTATATTTTATAAACTATTACTACATATAACATTAAATTAGTTTTCCAGATATTTTTAGTAGATCTAGCCATATTTTCTAGGTTATAATCATTTATTTTCTCTATACAGCTATTTCCAGAAGGATATAAGTTTTCTTACAATATAGAGAACAAAAATATTAAAGGAAAGCCATAGAGAAGACAGAAATAACAAAAAGGTTTAACACTATGACTAGTTAGTATGTTGAATATTATGTGTATGTTTAATTTTCCTGAAACCAAAGATTTAAGGGAAAATGATATAGATTATGTTGTTCTCAACATTTGAGAACACACCACTTCTTCATAACACATATAATGTTTCCTTATGTATTTTAAATACGTTTAAAATAATGTATTTTAAATCTAAAATACATTATTTTCAAAGTATTTATTGAAGGATGACTAAAGAAAACATGATGTGCTATTTTACTAAAATTTTCATATTAAAATTAGTTTTATAAAAATATATTTTATTAATTTTATTGGTTTTATCTATTTCACAGTTACAGAAGGTAAGAGATTATGGTATTGTTTAGAGCATTGCAAAGCAAAAAACTTCACTGATTCATAATCATGAATCATTAAAATATGCATAAAATATCAAAATGTATAAAACGTGAAACAAATGGAATAAATCCAAAGCATTTGTGAACTAGCCAGATTTTTTTCAAAAGTGCATCTAGTTTCTCTTATTACACAATTGTGTTTGTATTATCTAACAGTGTCTATAGATGAGTTGATCATGCAATGTAAGACAGTAATTTGAAAAGTATTGTAGATTAAAAGTCTTGTTAAAACTCTGTACTATTTGAATTTTAAGAACATGAAAAACCCAGTATTTTCCTAGTGTTTACAACCTGTGAAAAGATTCTGAATTCACTGGGCACCACAACTAAGGCTTTGAGGCATCATGGGGAAAGTCAATCATCAGCTTTCAAAATTAATTAAGGAAATATAAAGCCTAAGAAATAGCCAAAGTTCTAGAAATACATAATTCTTTGTTTCATTGGGTCAACTGAATTACTAAACTAGATTTTATAGATCATCTTGAATTTATAACTGATTTAATGACATTCCACTAAGTTTTGAATGTACAGCACAGAATATGAAGTCAGTATTTAAAAGTAGGCTGAGAGTCTTAAAAAATAAATGTTATTACTTCAAAGCAAAAGTCGAATAGAAAAAAATTTATAAATAAGAATTGAAACTTCTAATTAAAAATTAAAAGAATATACATTTCCTTTTACATTTCATCTTTAGAAGTCTGTTATTTTATAGTGGCTCTTTATTCATAATGAAATGATAAAATTCCCATAAATAAAATTAATTTGAATTTTCCAAAAGGATTATCAGTAATTTTAAAATAAGAAATCAGATTTCAATTCCTGTGTTTCATTTCAGATCTCATTTATAACCTATATACACCTAATCTAAGTGAGAGGTTTAGACAATATGTGATCGTACATGGTTTTCACTTGGCATGCTATCTCTGATCAGTTGAAAAGGGTTATCACAATGGATCACAGGATATTGAGAATGGTTTAGGTGTAAGTTTAAGCTCTCCAGGAAAGAGTGGTATGATCATTTATAGAATCAAATTTCTGGAATGATTGCCTCACTGCAGCACATCTGTTCTATTTTAGAAGTCAGATGATAGCAAGGTCTTCAACTCAACACTCAGCCTGTTTTCTGATTGTAAAATGAGGGGATTTAATGCCTAATATTTTTTAGATACATCAATGTTACTTTAGTATCCTTTACAGATTTAATGTGTTTAATCCTGTGTTATAGTATTTTTTTTTTACTCTAACATAGAAATGTAACATATGGAGCTATGTATACTGAAATGAAAGGAATAAGGAAGGTGGCAACTGAAGTGGAAAGTTGTCAAGCATTTGACAAATTATGATCCATTATGTAATGCAAAGTACACAATCGAATTATCTGGGTTATGCAAGTTGTCTGAGTTCTGAGTAACAACTTTACTAGGTAGTATGCTATTCAAAGACAGGCATAAATGAACTAACAAGGACTAACTATATATTGTTTATTGTATAATAAATTAAGAAAATTTACATTACTTTTAAAAATATAATCTCAACAATTTTGGATTAAGTTCAACTAGTCCAAGTTTTATAGACAAGAAACCTGTGTTTCAGAGAAATTAATCTCTATTGCTTTTTTATATTTTAGTTCATTCATCCACTCATCTATTCAATAAATAGTAACAAGCACCTCTGTATATCAGCCACTATTCTAAGTACTGCTAAGCAAACTGTGGTTGATCAAACAAGGATAGCCAAGGCCAATCTCTCCCAGAGCTTCTCGGCAGTGGGAGAAATGCAGACCACAAATAACATAAAAGTAAACAAACAAGATAATGTCATGTGGTGGAAAATGCTATGAAGAAAATAAGAAATGATACTGTAACAGGCTGAGTCTCATTGATTATAAGTGTATTTAAGATAATAACTTTTTCATTCCTAATTATAAAAGCCTTCTGTAGTAGGATATGTACCTACCTGAACATTTGAATACCAGGTGTCAATTAGGAAAACAGAGTCAAGAGATGAGTGACTAAGACATGA